ACAGTATAAAAGTGTTTTTTTTTCTCCACATCCTCTCTAGCATTTATTATATTGTTTTTATTTTATTATTATTTTTTAACTAGGGGTTGAACCCACGGGCAATTTACCACTGAGCTACATCCCCAGCCCATTTTATTTTTTATTTTGAGACAGAGTCTCACTAAGTTGCTTAGGGCCTTGCTAAATTGCTGAGGCTGGTCTTGACTCCCAAGTCACTGGGATTATAGGTGAGTGCCACCACACCTAGCTTATTTATATTCTTGATGGATGGCTGCCATTCCAACTACAGTGAGATGAAATCTGAATGTCATTTTAATATGCATTTCTCTGATTGCTAATGATGTTAAACTTTTCATATTCTTATGAAAAAAATTGCATTTCTTTTAATAAGTGTCTGTTTAATTCATTTGCCCATTTATTAATTGGGTTTTGTGTGTGTGTGTGTGTGTGTGTGTATGTATGTTGAGTTCTTTATATATACTGGATGTTAATCCTCTGTCATAGCAAAGATTTTTTTCCCATTTATTAATTCTTGGCATTATGTCCTGAGCTTTAGGGGTTCTGTTAGGAAAGTTGTTGCCTATGCCTATATATTGGAGTGTTGACCCTATATTTTCAGAGTTGCATAGTTTCTGGTCTAATTTCTAGGTCACTCACCATTTTGAGTTAATTTTTATAAGGGTGACAGATAAGGGTTTAGTCTCATTCTTCTACATATGGATAATCTTTCTAATAAGTGGTGCTGGGAAAACTGGTTATCTTTTCTTCAATATATGTTTTAGGGACCTCTGTCAAGGAAGGATCAGATGACTGAATCTGAGTGTGTTTATGCCAGTACCACAGAGGTTTTGTTACTATAGCTCTGCTGTAATTTGAAATGAGGTATAGCAATCCCTCCAACACTGCATTTTGGCTTAGAATCGCTTTGGCTATTCTGGGTCTTTTAGTCTTCCAAATGAATTTCAGGACTATTTTTTCTAGTTCTGTGAAGAATGTCATTGGTATTTTGATGGGAACAGCATTGAAACTGTATATTATATTGCTTTTGATATTATGGCTATTTTAATTTTGCCTATCTATGAATATGCAAGGTTTTCCTATCTTCTTGTTTCTTCTTCAATTTCTTTGGTCAATGTTCTAGAGTTCTCTTTGTAGGTCTTTCATTTCCTTGGTTAGATTTATTCCTAGGTTTTTTTTTTCTTTTCTTTTTTGAAAAGGCTATTGTGAATGGGATTGTTTCTTGACTTCTCTCTGAGCAAACTCATCATTGGTGTACAGAAAAGCTATTGATTTTTGTATTAATTTTGTAACTTGACACTTTGCTGAATTTATTAGCTCTAATTATTTTCAGGTGGAGATTTTAGAATCCTCTAAATATAAGATCATATCATCTGCAAACAGTGATAATTTGACTTTTTCCTTTCCTCTTTTATTTCCTTGTCTTGCTTAATTGCTCTGGCTACAATTTCTATTACTATATTAAATAGGAGTGGTGACAGTGGACATCCTTGAAGGACATGAACATTTTATATCAAGCAGGCAAGCAGATCATATATTACCTTTGGTTTCCATGTCTTTTTAGTCTCCTCTAGTCTTGAGAACCTAGACCCCACTTCCCCCTTTTTTAGTTGCTTTGACATTGAGACATTAGAAAAGCACAGGATAATTTTTCTGTAGAATGCTCTACAATATGAATTTGTTTCCTTCTTCAGGATTAGGTCCAGATAAAACATTCTGGCAAGAAACATTTTTGATTAAACATTTTTGTGAGATTATCATAAACTGATATTTTAACGGTCTTCAGAGTTCCTTTGTCTATATTTTAGGTGCTCAAATAAACTATAAATAAGCTCCTTGAAAGAAGTGCTTTTGCATTTCTTTCTTTGGTATTTCCCCAAAGAATGTAGTACAATCTCTCTACACATTACATACTGAATAAATAAATGAAACAGTGGACAGCAAATATAACAACTATTTTCAAGGTTAGCAGAGTATGTATTGCTATTACATATTGTATAGTTTTATATTGGACTAAAAATATTTGGGCTTCGCCTCTAAAATTTTTGAAAGAAAAAAATTAAGCATGTGTAAACAATTTTGCAGTGTCTAATACAGTATGTCCAAAATATGTCTAGGAAAGAATTGGGACTGAAGGCAAATACAGAGCAGAATGAACTACTAAGACTGATATATGAGGATTTAATAGAGTATGGTCACCTATTTCATCTCAAGGCATTTTTATAAGTAAGCTTGGTCTTTTAAAAGGAGCTTTGGACAACARCAGATTAAAAGTACAGTATATAAAATAGGGTCCAGGGAATATTTAAAAAATACTTTCAAGGAACATGGCACAATTTTAAAAGTTCACATTCAGATAAAGATTAGATTGAAACTGAAATAAAAATGCTATCTAATATGTTGTACAAAGGACAAGGAAGCAGTAACTATGACTTGTTTTGAAAAACTGCTGCTATACATAACAAGAGACCAGTAGAATTTGTACTTTAAAAAGTATTTGTCACAAGTCATTCTAATTAAGACCATATTTTCAACTACCAGCTGATGTTTAGAAGTCAGCTAATTATTGARATTATTCCTCTACTCTGCCCTACACGAACATGTTTTAAGTGTTGTTCATTATGTAATCCAATTGCTTATGATACCATAATGCTTCTTCTTTTCCCCTATATATATCTAATAAACTACTGAAAGAAAAACAAAAGCTTTATCTCATCCAAATGCAACTGGGAAAATGTACTACTACATCAGGTCATAAAAGTCATTCATACATGGTAAGCCTCAGATTTATATTTCATGAAAAAAATGGTTCATATCACTGCCAGATATCTTGTAGCTGAAAGACACAAAATAACTCTAAAAACTGAGCAAACAAGTTTTCATTACTTTTCTAAAAGATTTTACTGAAAGCCAGGCATGGTGGTACATGTGTGTAATCCCAGCGACTTAAGAGGCCAAGGTAGGATGATCTAAAATTCAAGGTCAGTCTCAGCAATTTGGTAAAAACCTGTCTTAAAAAAAAAAAATAATAACCGGGGATATACCTCAGTAGTAAAGCACCCCAGGGTTCAATATCTAGTACTACAAAAAAAGTGGGGGGGTATGTTTATTACTAAGGAAATCTGAAATTATTATGTGAGCTTAAGACATGTTCCTTTTAAATCAAGGTATATTCTGAGAAGCAGTAATGTAAACAGATTTATAATCTACTATATGCTTGTATAAAAACAGAATATTTAGAATCCTTGTCCTTGAGATATACATTATTACATAATGAATAGTTTTTATGACACACTTAGCTAAAAAAAAATTCTTGTCTCTTCTCAGAAGGATTATTTAGTTTGGCTGACAGGTATATATTTTTGGTTCCATGAAAAAGAGTAATCAAAGATCCTGCAGAGAGCTAAAAATGATATGGGCAGATGATATGCCATATACCATAATCTTTTACAAACATCTCTTTAGCAAGAAGGCCAAACTTAATCTCATGCATGAATGTCATTCTCTGATTTCAGTATTATATTTATGTTTAATAGTGGGAAGAGTCAATTCTGTAACAATAAAACAAGTCCATCTAGGTGCAGTGGCGCATGCCTGCAATTTCAGTGACTTAGGAAGCTGAGGTAGTAGGAGCATAGTTGAAGGACAGCCTCAGCAACTCAGCAAGAAAGACCCTGTCTTAAAAAATAAAAAGGGCTGGGATTAGTTCAGTGGCAGACTGCTCCTGGGCTCAATCCCTAGTACTGMAAAACAAACAATAACAACAACAACAAAAAAAAACTTAGGTTGCTTTCAAACAGATAAAAAATCAAACTATAATAGGATTATAACAAGTAACTTGTTATAATCTAACAAGGTTACTCCAATATGGCAATTATCCTAAATAGTATTTTCAAATATCTTTTCTCCTTATGGGACAAACTCTCATCCTCTTCAATATTTATAAGGGAACATTATTTATAATTATAATCAAAGCTCCAGGTGTAGGGAAAATGTGTGCTATTGTTGCTAAAGAGACGAGTAAACTTGATTTTGTAACTTCCTCTATTTTACTTAAAATCATTTCACAAAATTTTTTCCTTTTATTTATTTTTGTACTGAGGATGGAGCCCAAGGACTTTACCACTGAGCTATATCTCTATCCCTTTGTGTTATTCATTTAAAAAAATATTTTTAGTTATAGACAGACAGAACACTTTATTTTATTTACTTACTTTTATGCAGTGGTAAGGATGGAAACCATTGTCTCTCATGTGCTAGGCAAATGCTCTGCCACTGAACTACARTCCCAGTTCCTCCCTTTTTATTCTGATACAGGGTCTTGCTAAGTTGCTGCGGCTGGCCTTTAACTTGCATTCCTCCTATGTCAGCCTCCCAAGTTTCTGGGATTACAGGAGTGCACTACTGGAACATGGCTCATTTCACAAAATTATTTATCCATATGTTTATCTAAAATTCATTGATAATTTAAAGGCCASATTATGTTAAAGATATAAGCCACAATCCATGTTCTCCAAGAGTTTATAATTAATGTTTATATTAATTACTAAAGATAAGACAAAATTCAGGAGGCTAGTCATAAAATCAAGTACAAGTACTCAACATATATTTCTCTATAATAAGTTGAAACAATATACTAATTATTATTGCAGGGCATCTTGCCAAAAATACTTCACATTTTCAAAATGATTTCATACTGAAAAGTATCAATATTTTCTTTAAAAATTCAAGTTATACATTAATTCATATATCTCACAAATATATTATTATGTACTTTAGGCAAGGAACTGTGTCCAATACTATGAAAAATGCAAAACTATATAAAAGTTGGTAAAAGGCTTACAATTCATTGAAATTAGCACACATAGCTCTTTAAAATATTTTATCTTCTTGAAATACAAATTTGTGGATGTACCAGAAAACACTGTTGTAGTGCTTAAATTTGTGGATGTCCCAGAAAACACTGGTGTAGTGTTAATTACCTGATCTTGCAATGACATCACTGGGTTATTTTTGGTAGTATTGATGTGAAGAACATGGTATTTATTCTTTGCACACAGGTCATAGGCGATATTGGTAAATGAGGTGCTTGCTGTTTTGGGAACTCTGTTATAAATTATCACCATATCCTCTTCCTCATCTAAAGATGAATCTTGTCGAGGTCCATCCATTGTATGTCGTTGCTCAATTTCTCGAACTTCATGTCTTGCAATAGCTCTTTCTAAAACAGAGAAAAAGAAATATGAACTGTTTTAAATGATTTAATAAGGAAGTTATGAACAGCAATCTCTAGACCATAATAAGGAAAGACAAAATATAAACACAAGAAAAATAAAAGTATAGGACCAAGATATATGGAAAATATGGATAGACTGCTTGAGTTTTTATGAGGCTCAATCCAGTTGAGTCTAAAACAGCTTTAGCCTGGAACATAATTTTCCTATTCAATAACAAGGTAAGAGCAATTTAATATATGTTAGGAGAATCAAATCTTCAAAATTACTTGCAAGGCTTAATACATATGAATATCAAGAAGAGAAGAATAAACTGACATCAACTTTAGAACAGCATCAACTAGAGATACTGAAGGGTAGTTCAAAAGTCACTTTTCATTCTAACATAGTATTTCAAGTMAATCTTGAGTTGTGTGCATCTCCAAATACTGTTCTGAAGTGCAATTTATTCCTGATAAAATGTATGTGCAATGCCAACTGGGACACAACACAGCTGCAGTACAAGAAAACTGTTCTGAAGCTATTTAACTGATTATGTTTTCAGCATGGCTGACAATGTATTTACTGTCCAGCTAAACATTATTTGATCCTCACAGAAGTAATATTTTAAAACCACTGTGGATTATATTAATTGGCTATCTGATTATATACATGATTTTCTTAAGTTGTTATTCTGAATCAATTTCCTTGAATTCTGACATATTATACATACATGGAATATAAATTTATTCTAATTAGGATCCTATTCTTGCTGTTGTATAGGACATGGAATTTCAGTGTCGTGTTTTTACACATGAACATAGGAAAGTTATGTCCCATTCATTCTACTGTCTTTCCTATTCCCATCCCCCTCCCTTTCCTTCACTTCCTCTTTGTCTAATCCAATGAACTTCTTTTCTTCCCTTCCCCTCCATTTTTATGTTTTAGCATCCACATATCAGAGAGAACATTCTGCCTTTAGTTTTGGAGATTGGTTTATTTCACTTAGCATGATAAGTCTCCAGTTCCATCCATTTACTGGCAAATATCATAATACACTCTACTGTCATGTATATTTAAAAAGAACAAATAAAAATATTTTAAATGATTGGGTTATAGAAGGTTTAACCTAATAAGCACATTAATCGCCTGTGCTGGGATTAACTTGATGCTAACTGTAGGCAGGAAAAAAAAATTTCCCCTGAATTCAATCACTATAAGGGACTGACAAAATATATTTATAAATGTAAGATGGAGGGATGGACCCTGAACATCAGTAAGTACTTCCTCGTGTGGTTTCCAGAGAGTCAACAAGATATATAAGTATCATTATTAAAATTTACAAGTTGTGGCTGTATAAATTATCCTGTACAAAAGAGAGTTGACGATGACTTTTTAAAAAATTACTGGTACATAATAGTTATGCATAATAGTGGAATTCACTGTGACATATTCATACATGAACATGATCTGATCACTTTCATTGTTGCCCAGTACTTCCCCTTATCCTCATCCTAATCCCCATTTGCTACTAGTCTCCCTTCTATTTTCAAGCGATTCCTATTTTTACATTTTTCTTTCTACCTTCCACATGAGAGAAAATATTTGAGCCTTGACTTTCTGAATCTGGTTTATTTCTCATGATGCTCTGTATCTCCATTCATTTTCCTGCAGATGACAGCATTTCATTCTTCTTTATGGCTGAATAAAACTCCATTGTGTATATATCACATTTTTCTTATCTATTCATCCATTGATGGACACCAATGTTGGTGCCTTAACTTAGCTAATGTGAATTGTGCTACTATAAACATGGGTGTGCATGTATTGCTATAGCATGCTTTATTTCTTTTGCATAAATAAGGAAGAATGGAATAACAGGGTCATAGGGTGGTTCCATTTCTAATTTTTTAATGAATCTCCATATTGATTATCATACTGGTTGTATTAATTTACAGTCCCACCAACAGTCTATAAATGTTCCTTTCTCCATACATCCTTGCCAGCATTTACTATTATTTGTATTCTTGATGACTGCCATGCTAAAGGAATGACAGTCAGTATAGTTTTGATTTACACTGCATAATTGCTAAAGATGTTGACATTTTTTCATTTATTTGTTAGTCGTTTGTATTTCTTCTTTTGAGAAAAGTCTATTTAGTTCACTTGTTCATTTACTAATTAAGTGTATTTGTTTTTGTTTTGGCAGTAATTTTTTTGAGTTTTTTGTATTTTCAGGATATTAATCCTCTGTTGGAAGAGTAGCTGGCAAAGATTTTCTTCCATTCTGTAGGACCTCTGTTCACACTCTCAACTGTTTTGTTTGCTATTCAGAAACTTTCTAATTTGCTGTTCTCCTATTTATAATTCTTGTTTCTATTTCCTAAGCTTTAGGAATCCTACTGAGGAAGTAATTTCCTGCACTATTGTATGCTGGAGTGTTGATCCTATGGTGTCTTCTAGCAATTGCAGTTTCTGGTCTAATTCCTAGGTTATTAACCCATTTTAAGTTGACTTTTGTAGAATGTAAGAGAGAGGAATCTGGTTTCACTCTTCTAGATATGGGTATCCAATTTCCCAGCACCACTTGTTTAAAAGGCTGTCTTTTCTTTGGTGTTTGTGTTTGTATCTTGGTAAAGGATCAGATTATCATCTGTGTCTGTGTGGGTTTGTCTCAGTGACTTCTATTTCATTGGTCTGTGTGTCTGTTTTTATGCCAGTACCATGCAGTTTTTGTTACTAGAGCTGTGTAAAATAATGTGAATCGGGTATTGGGATGTCTCTAGCATTGCTCTTTTTGCTTAGAATTGCTTTGGCTATTCTTGGTGTTTTATTCTTCCAAATGAATTTGAGGACTTTTTTTTYCCTACTTCTGTGAAGGATGCCATTGGTATTTTGATGAGGACTGCTTTGAATCTGTAGATTATGGTCATTTTAACAATATTAATTCTGCCTATCCATGGTCCTATTTCTTTTTTCAGTACTCTGTAATTTTTCCCTGTAGAGGTCCTTCACCACTCTGATTAGATTTATTTATTCCTAGGGCTTGTTTTTGAGACTGCTGTGAATGGGAACTTCTTTCCTGATTTCTGTTTCAGTGAATTCATTACTGGTGTATAGGAAAGCTACTGATTTTTGTATGTTGATTTTTGCATTCCACTACTTTGCTGCACTTATTTCTCAGCTGTAGAAGTCTTCAGGTAGAGCATTTTGGATTTTCTAAGAATAGGATTATATCATCTGCAGTGATATTTTGACTTCTTCCTTTCTTAATTATTAATTGTTCTGGCTAAAATTTTAAGTACTATATTGAATAGGACTGGTAAGAGTAGGCATCATTGTCTTGCTCCTWACCTTTGAGGATGTTTTCAGTTTTTCCCTATTGAGTATGATGTTGTCTTTGGGTTGGTTACATATAGCCTTTATGATACTGAAGTAAGATCCTTCTACCAAAAAACAAAAAACAAACAAAAAAAAACCCTTCTATCCCTAGCTTCTTCAGTGTTTTTATCATTAATGAATGCTGAATTTTGTTGAAGGCTATTTCTGCATCAAGTGAGATGATCATGTGATTTTTGTCTTTTATTCTTTTTTTTGTGGTCAATTTTATTTACTGACTACTGAATGTTGAATCCTCCTTGCATCCCTAATATTTTATTGAGGATTTCTGTATCTATACTCTTCMAGGATATTCATCTGCAATTTCCCTTGACATTTCTTATCTGTTTAGGAATCATGGTGATATTATTGGCTTCAAAGAATGAATTTGGAAGTGTTTCTCCTGCCTTTCTACTTCAAGAAATAACTTGAAGAGCACTGACATCAGTTCTCCTTTAAAGTTCTGCTAGAATTCAGCTCAGAAACCATCTGGCCCTGGGCTTTTCTTCGTTATAAGTCTTTTTATTATTTTGTCAATCTCATTGCATGTTATTGGGCTGTTAAAAGTTTTCTATATCCGGGGCTGGGGATGTGGCTCAAGCGGTAGCGCGCTCGCCTGGCATGCGTGCCGCCCCGGTTCGATCCTCAGCACCACATACCAACAAAGATGTTGTGTCCGCCGAGAACTAAAAAATAAATATTAAAAAATTCTCTCTCTCTCCTCTCTCACTCTCTCTTTAAAAAAAAAAAAGTTTTCTATATCCTCTTGGTTCAATTTTGGTAACTTATTATCTCTAGAAATTTGTTAATTTCTTCTACATTTCCCAATTTACTGAAATGTAAGTTTTCAAAAATCTTTTGGATTTCAATGACATTTATGTATATATTACCTTTTTCATCTGTAATTTTATTAATTTGGGCCTTCTCTTTCTTTGGTTTAGAAAAGTGTTTAATCAATCATTATATTTTCAAAGAACCAACTTTTTGTCACATTAGTTCTTTGTGTAGTTTAAAATTATTCTCTATATCTCATTAATTCTGGTTCTGATCTTAATTATTTCCTTCTTCCTATTGGCTCTGGAATTAGTTGTTTTTTWAAAAAATTTTCCTAGGGTCTTAAGACCCATCATTAGATTGTTTATTTGGGATCTTTCTGGTTTTTCAATGTAGACACTTGTAGCTATAAACTTTCCCTAGATCTTCCTTCATAGTGTCCCAGAAACTGTGGTTTGTTATATATTCTTCTTAGATTCTAAGAATTTTTAAATTTCTACTGAGTTCTTCTATGATCTGTTCATCATTCAAAAGTATATTATTCCATTTTCATGTGTTCCTATAGTTTCTATAGTTTTACTTGCTGTTGATTTCTGATTTCATTATTATGTGATAAGACGCAAGGAATTTTACTGACTTTTTTGTATTTACTAAGACTTGCTTTGTGGCCTAAAATATATTATGTATTTTGAAGAAGGTTCCATGAACATCTGAGAAGAAAGTATATTCAGCTATTGTTGGTGATGTTTGTTATGTCCATTTGATTTGCAGTATTTTTAGGTCTAAGGTGTCTTTGCTGATTTTATGTCTGCATAGCCTATTTATCAGTGAGAGAGGTGTGCTAAAATTACTTAAT